GCACGGGTGCATTAGAGACTCATCTGCAGGAAAGATGATGCAAGACTATGAAATGATTTGTCCCTCTCCTTTCTCAATTAGATCTATGCTTCCAAAAAAATAAGTACCCCCCCATCCTAAATTATAGCGTATTCCTCATTATCCAGCAGTAAAAAGGTTAGACTGGCAGGGGAGCCAGGCTGGCGAGGTTTGTCTTGCTTTCTCCTCACGCTAGGGAATGATCTGGTTTCTTTAAAACCATCTGAAAATATTTCAGCAGACATGGGAGCTTAACCTTTGTGCTTGGAAGTATTGGAGATGATGGAAAACCCATCGCTGTTTTGTGCATGCATGTGACGGGCACTAATGCACCCGCGTTGCCGAGCGATGTGTGTGGTGCCAGCGGGGCTGGGTCTCAATGGACAGGCAGGCTCGAGGTGGTCGGTGCGAGGGAGGTCTGGGGTTGCATTGCAGCGGTGCAGAGGGGTTCTTGGCCTGTGTTTGCCCTGGCAGGGGTCTGCTGGTGGCACGGCAATGCTTTTTTTGGACCCTGTTGAATAAACACACACAGAGGCTTTGCTCAGAGAGGACTTTTTCACTTTTAGCTCTTGTTGTTCCTTGGGGGGGGTTGGGTTGGGTTTTTTTTTGGCTGGTTTTTTTAAACAAAGGTTTGAGGCGAGCAAAACCTCCCGTCTGCACGGCTCTTTATTAAAAGATGAAAAGCTGGAGTTCACAGGAGTTAGCATTAAGTCACAGTGCGCAGCAATCGAAGGTATTCACTGGCTGGGGACTCTCTCTGTTTATTTCAAACACCCTTTATCATTTGGTTGAAAGAGCGGTGTTCTCTGTAAAGCTCTGCCAATTGAAAACAGGATCAGATAATGAAGACTGATGCTGCACTGATGACAGCCCCTCCGATCCTCAATAGGGTTTCTCCAAAATCAAAAGACTTTTTTGTCTTATTGTCACACTTGTGGCTTCAAAATAATTAAATTTAATCTTTTAGCTTCAGAAACAAAAATGGAAATCTAAAGCCAGCTCCCCCCACTCCGTGTGCAGGGGAGACAAAGCAAATGCAAATACGCAGTGGGTGTTGGGAAAAACTTTGTACATTATAAAGGAAAACACTGTCCTTGTGGTGGGTGCCAGCACCCACACCTTACAGTGACCACATTACCGCGCCCGGTGAGTATGGCTGTGCCGTGGCGTGCCCGCGGCGCTTGTCCCATGGGAATTACAGTCATGTATGCGTTGCGTTCGTCTATTGTGTTAGCACTGCTGTTCTCCAGAATCACTTTGAAACATGCCGTCTTTTCCAGACCAATCCAAAGCCTGATGCTTCTGGGTCCCTGTGTGCGTGGCGAGGGCCAGACAATCGGACACAGCCCAAAACCTATGCTGAGCATGGGGCTCCAGTGTCCCAGCTCCAGTGCAGGAGGATGTGGGCTCTGAGCAGGCAGAGATGCTAGCACTGATGGGCTGGATGACACAACATCCCCTCCTCCCTTGGTGACAGTGAGCTGTGTTTGATGCTTCAGCATCCGTTTTATGCCTTTTAAAATGCTGAACAAATTTGTTGTTCATCACAGTGGGAGGCAGAGGAATGGAATCTATCGGGAGCTATTTGTACTGTAACTAAAGCCCCAAATTTATGGGGGGGGGAGAGCGTAGCGAGAGGCGACTTTGTCACAGTACGTGGAGGAAGGGAAATTGGGCTTTGAGGTTCTGCCTGCTCTTTGAAGCAGCCATGCCGGGTTCCCAGGCTGGGGACAGGTACAAGGAGCTGCTCCAAGGCTCCGTTGAGCAGCGTGGCCCACCAGGGAAGTGCTGGATGCCTGTCAGGCGAGCCGTTAAATCCCGAATGCTGTAACTTGATTATTCCTTCTCCGGGTTCCTTTTGCAAACTCCTGCATTCTCCGAGTTACACAGGATTTAGCCCCACGCTGCCTTTCATGTGAATTGTGTGGCTAAACTTGCGTGCAGCTCTTTGGAAATCTCAGAGCCGGCTCTTTCCCCAAGATCGACAACTGTTTCATTCCTCTTGACAGAATACGTAGCAGGAACAAACACTGCCATTCCTGGAGGAATCTTTTTGGTCGCAGTCTCTATAGCACCTTTAATCTGAGGCTCAAAGAGCCGCTGAAGAATGGCGAGTCCCATGGTACCTGCAGAAGGGAGATGCTGCTGTGCGGGTTCTTTTTCCCTCCTTGGTTGATGTGGGAAGGAATGGCAAAGGCAGGGGACTTGGTGGAAGGCCACAGTGGCCAGTGAGTACTGTTGGTTCCCTTTCATGAGATTAAGACAAGGTAATTGATCATTGGCTTTGTAAACCCATCTAAACCAGACTCCTGCTGCAGCTTCTGCAGAGGATCTAATTGATGTCAGTTACTTAAAATCAGGCACCAGCTGGGTGATGCTGTGTCCTCTGATGCCATTCCCAGGGTGGTGGCAGCAGGACTGATGCCAGTTTGTGCTGGGACTGGTTCAGTCTCTGGCTGGAAGCATTATCAGCAACCACAGCTCATCCACACACCTATGGCTTCTGTTGCCAAACATCATTGCAGGCACATCGAAACGTGCGGTCCAGGAAGGAGGAGCTCCAGGTGCATTTAAATCTGTCTGAGAGGGGCTCAGCTCTGCCTCTGGCAGTGCCACACTTTGGAGTTCTCATAGCTAAGTTCATTTTTCAAGTTCATCTTTGCTCCTGATTTGAATGCTGAATTAACAATTGATTATCGGCTCTAAAATGCAAACCCACCATCTGGTCTCTGAGATGCGCTCACTGGCGGCTGGGGAAGCTGGAATGGCACATGTGAAGGATCTTTGCAAGTGGCACAGGGAGCTCAGGGAGAAGCTCCTGCTCTCACAGCCTCTGCAAAGTGGGTGAGGAACATGGTCTGTCCCATGGGCACCCCTGAACACACTGCCTACATGGAGCTGTGTCACCGCATCCCACCACGCCAGTGGTACTGAGGCTGGAGCATGGTCCTGGGTACTCCTCCATCACTGGCTCCTCGCCCCAGGTACTGATGGTTGGGTTTTCCGAGGACTGTGGCTTGCTGGAGCAGCTTCCCAGCATCCCGCACCCCTGTCAGCATCCCTTGGGAGATGTCTTGGAGTGAGCCACAGCAACGGGTGGCTGTTTGTCAGTGGGATGTGCCACCTCGTCCCAAGCTGCCTACTACGTTCATGGTCAGGTCACAACCCTTCTGTGCCCCCCCATTCCCACCAGCGCTCCCGTGCCAGCTGCTGTCCTGGGACACGGCCACTTGCTGTACCACAGCTTCCACTCAGCACCCACTTCCACTTAGCAACCGCTGAACACTCTGTGACAAATAATCCAGGGCTAAGCTTTCAGGACAGAGGAAATCGTTTTCCTCTTGGTATTAAAGTCGATGCATAATGGAAAGCAGGAAGACGTTTCCAGCAGGAACACGGCCAGCTTCAGTGCATCTCGAGTCCCTTTCTGTCTGCTGAACGAGACGGGGGAGGTTAGAGAAGTCATTTCCTAGAGTTCAGGATTTGCAATTTACATTCTCTAATCTCCCGGCCATTTAGCAGCAGATAATTTGTCATGGTTTGTTTTAGCTGTTGTGATATTGATATTTATTATGCAAATTGTATTTCCTACTACTTATTGTTCTGCGCCCTATGAATACTTAAATTATTATAAACCTTTTTAGTTAATGCAGGTTGCCTGTCGGCTGATGGCTGAGCCGCAGTGGGCTGTGATTGTGCGGTGCTGCGCAGAAGGGGTTGACACAGGGAATCGGGGGAGAAGCAGGATAGTGGGTGCCTGATGCTGCGAAGGAAAACAGAGCTTCTCAGCCAGCCCGTGTTGGGCTCAGGTCCTGCTGGAGAGAGGGGTTTGGTGTCCCAGGCCAAGGGAAGTGCTTTATCCCGTACTGGGGGATGCATCTGGCTCAGTTATGGGGTTGTGGTTGATTATGGTGACCTGAAACTCTGCTCTCATGGCACTCATTGAGTGGGATGGAGAGTTGTTGGGCATGGCTGTGGAGCAGGAAGGCTTTCCAGCACGCGAGAGGCTCTGTGTTGCAGTGGTGAGGGTCACTGGTGAGTGGGGACGCTCCGAGCCGAGCCCCAGAGCTGCGTTTGGCATTTTCTCAGGCTCTGGTGCCATGAAACCAGCGTGGTTTCATGCTCCGGTGTGTGAAAGCTCTTCCCAACCCCACGCCGTGACTCAGTGCTCGCCCCCGGTGGTTCCTGCCTTTGGGTGACAAAGTCAAGCTGACATCTCGCTGCCTCCGAGCCTAATGAGCAGCGGTGGCAACGGTGGCATCCTCTGCTTTCCCCCACTCATGCTGCTGGTGGAGGCCTTGGTATTCTGGGTGTCGTGGGTGGTGGGAAGACCTGGTCCCTCCCGGCATGGCGGACGGGCACGGACCGGGTGCTCCGGTCTCCACTGATCAGTGCAGGGTCGGTACGTTGGTGGTCTGCTGCCCATCCCCTCGGTTTCAGGATGAAAACCCCGCAGGAAGGCGCAGTTTCACGCGGCCGCTGCTCAGCCCCCGCCGCCGCTGCCGGTGCCGGTGCCCTCCGCCGGGGGGTGTCCGGGCTCCCCCGGAGCCGGGGAAGGCTCAACACCGCCTCCAGCGGCCCGGGATGCTCGGGGGGGGGAGAGCCAAGGACAGCGGCGGGACCGGGACGAGATTGCGGGGTGTGTGTAGGGAGGAGGGCTCCGGGGGGTGCTCGCGCAGCCCCGCCGCCTCTGTCCCTGTCGGCGGGAGTCGCGATAGGTGGCGGAGCGCAGGGAGCGTGGGGGTTTGTTCAGGTGCGGGTTCCATTGTCTGTGGCGCCGTTCGGGGGGGCGCCGGCTCCCTCCCGCTCCGGGGCTCCCAGCGCCTCCCGCATCCCGGCGCGCCCGCTCCCAGCGCCGCACTTTGCCCCTGGCGCGCAGGGCGGGAGGGGGGGCGGTGGGTGCAGGGGGGCGTGGCCCGCCGCGGTCCCGCCCCTCGCTGACGCGCACGCATCTCATTACGGTGTCGCGCGGTCGGCGGTGCCGGCGCGCGGGCAGAGCGGAGCCGGTGCCGGACATGGCGGGTCGCGCCCAGCGCAGCGCCGCGGGCCCCGCGCCCGGCCTCCCCCTCCTCCTCCTGCCGCCGCCGCCGCTGGTGCTGCTGCTCCTCGCCGCCGCCGCCGCCCTCATCCGCACAGGTACGGCCCGGCCCGGCCCGGGGGGCACCGCGGGGCCTGCGGGGAGGGAGCGGGGCGGGCGCGGGGCGCGCTCAGGAACCGCTCGGTCCGCGCTGGCCGCGCCGCTGCCTCCGGGCCGAGCCCCGGCGCGGTCCCCGGGGTCGGCGGCCGCTCACCCGCGCGTGTCGGGGCGGCGCGGGCGGACGGTTGCCATGGAAGCGGCTTCTCCCGCCGCCCCTCGGCTCGTCGGGCGGCCTCGCAATTAAGCGCTAATTACGGTGCGCGCCCCCCCGGTGCGCGGGGTGGGGGGGGTCGGGAGCGGCCGCACCGCGCGGCGCGGAACCTGTTGGAATCTGAGCGCAACTCGCGGGGCGCTTCCCCGTCCCTCCCGCCTTCCTGCCCTCGCCCGGCAGCGCCGGCGCCGCCCTCCCCGGAGCCCCCGCGGCGATCGCCCCGCTCGGAGGCTTCGGGCGAAGCGGGCGTCAAGCGAACGGCGCTCCCCGGGTCGGGCTCCCCCAGCCCGTGGCTCCTGGGGAGCGCACCCCGGAGCCTCCGCGGCCGCCGAGTGCCCCCGCTCCCGGCCGGTGGCGCTGAGCCGAGGAGCCGCAGGAGGGACCTGGGCTCGTGGCCGAGGCTCCGGTGGCTGCGTCCCCCCCTTCGCGGCACTTTACATGGGCAGCGTGTCCCTGGGGAGGCACAAGGCTCCCTTCAGTGCCTCCCGCGGCCGGAGCGCCGGGCATCGTTTGCCCGGGACGCAGGGGAAGGAACAAGAGGGCCATTGAGTGGGCTGCAGCAGTTCGCTAATGGGAGAAGGGGGGATAAAGGAGCAGGCAGCTTGGCCGAACAAAGAGCTTTATTCACAGCCGTGTCGTACGCGCTCTCCCGGGCTTCCCCGCTGGCCTGTCTGGTGGGATTGGGGCGGGGGAGGTGGGGTGAAGCCGGTGTCGTTCTTATCCCGTTCCCTCTCTGCGGGAGATCCGCATCCTCCAGCCGGGGCTTCTGCCCAAGACTGGCTCCGATGATGGAAGCGGCTCCTTCCGTGGTCTCGGAAGTGCTGAAGGGTGGCTCTGTTCTCTGAATCCGGCCGTTCCGCAGCCCGGAGCTCCCGTGCAGGGCAACCAGGAGCGATGGATGGATGGATGGACACCAGCCATGGGGATCAGCTCCTTCCACCGCGCGGGGAAGCGCTCGAATCGCTTCGGTGCAGCTCGCTGGCACCTAGCGGCAGACGCCCAGATGTTTACGTAGTTGCTGTGTTCTCCTCCTAGTTTTCCAGGGAGATATTTGGTGGCAAGGTGCTTTCTGGGGAAGTTGCCTTTGCTTTAGCTCGATGTGTCTTCAGTTTCCCACGGGCTCGACCTGGAGACCTGCTGCTGCGAGATGCCCCAATAAAAACAAAAGCCCTGTTGCAAGACAGCCACCTCCGTGCTTTGTTTTGCTGCCTGACCCTATTAATGCCTCGCCTCCCATTCCGAATCCTTTCCTAAGAGCAGTTTTAACTGCGGGCTGGTGCCTGCAATGGCCACCTAGCTAACGGCACGGCAGCACGGCACGGAGCAGCGCGGCAGCTTGAGAGGAACAAAAGCAGGGCTGGACACCACTGCAGATGGCTGCGCCCGACTGTGCCGGGGCTTTTTCAGTGGTGAATTGGGATCGTGATGCTCCCAGGGGAAGATGCCTCTCCTGTGCTCGTGGTGCTCCGCTGTGGATCACAGGATAAAATCCTGGAGCTCCTGCTTTACCGCCGTGCAGACAGAGCTGCCTTTGCGCCGAGGAGCTCGACGTCGTGTTGTTGTTTTTAATCCCCCCGTTTCAGAGCTGTGATTTGTGAGCTCCGGTGGGCTCGGAAGACAAAATGAGCGCTGTGGCAGTCACGCCTGGCGCTGATTGCAGCGCTGTCACTGCGTCTCCTGTATGGGCTCTACCTGAGGCACAACAGTGCTAACGCCGGATCACCACCGCGAGGTCCGGAGCGGGTCGTGGTGGCTTTGCCACCCGTGTTCGCTGGCAGTGGCAACAGGCAGCGCTTGGACTCAGCTTAAGCTAAGCCGGTAACTCAGCGTGGATCTGTGCCTTTTCATGGCGCTTTTCTATCTGGTCTCCGTGCTTTACAGTTAATTAAACTTCACAACGCTTCTGCAAAGGAGGGAGAGGGCTGAGGAGCGATTTCAGCTACTACGGAGAGGCGGGTGGAACGCAGCATCCTCCTGATGGTGCGGAGCAGCAGCGCAGGCACTCCAGAAACAACAACTTCTCAGCCAAGGCCACGGGAGGCGTTGGGAGGCGGCACCGGCACCGTGCTGCAGCCCAGCCATGGCACAGGCTCTGCATCCACCGACATCACCCCAGCCCTGTGCCCGGACTAGGACCCCCTTGGAGGCAGGGAGGGCTCCTGCTGCAGCTGTGTCCTGCCAGGCTCCTTTGAAACACAGAGCAGTTTCCTTTGTGTGCCCGGTTCCTGGCGTGCCGAGCTCCGGTGTTGACACACACGGCTGCGTTCTGCCTGCACCGCAGCGCCGAAGGAGCGCAGCGAGGCAGGGGCTGGTGAATACAGGGATCCATCTGGGTTGCAGCTTGGACTCATTTGTCTTGCATGTAGGTAGTTGAGCTCAGGTTTATGAGTGTGACAATCTGGCTGGGAAACCACTGCCAAGGAGGCTCCCGGGGACGGGATGACTGGGAGACAGCTCTGCACGGAGCCGGGGTGGTTGCCAGCCCTTTTGGCTCGGTGGCCGCCCTCGATGCTTGCTGACTGTGGGCTGTTCCTCTGCTGTGTGTCTGGCAGAGGGGGCTCTGTGCGGGGGGCCAGGAAGAGCTGAGCTCCTCAGGGACCCCGGGTTTATCAGCGGCTGCTTGCTGTTCTCTTTGTTTGCCTTTCCCAGTGTGTAAATACAGGCGGGTTCGTAACCAAACAGCTCTGGCTCCATCACCCCGGTGGCTTGGCATGCTGTCCTCCGGCCAGGCTGGGACTAAAGGTGGGTGCCTTCAGTTGGCCGTGGTCTCTGCCCTATTGCTAGACTGAAAATGGGTCAGGTCTTTAACCCTGCATCTCCCCGAGGCCATCGGAATGAAACATTTCGTTCAGCCTGGATGTGCCCTCTGTTTAAATGGACCATTAAATGCTCCCAAGGATGCGTTTGCTCAAAGAAAACCCTTTCTCATACTGCACATAAGCAGATTTTTCTGGATGCTTCTGTGTAATGCCTGTTTTCCCAGGGATTATTGTCACACTTCTCAAAGGGGTTTTGCCAACCTGTTCCTCTTGTGGTTTCTGGCAGCACCTGGCAGTACTTCTGTCTGGAATGCAGGGGCTCCCTTCTGTATCCAAAGTTAAGCAGCGTTCTGTGGTGCAGGGAGATGGGATTTTAGCAGGCTCCAGGGGCTGTGAGCGTGGTGCGGGCGGGAAGCCTGCAGCATTCACTGGAGCTGGAATTTGGCCAGTAAGTAAATACTTATGCAGTGGTTGAAGAGCACAGGCAAAGCTGGACACGCAGCCGGTATCTCTGCTGAGAAACTGGATGCTACGTGGTAAAAACCAGCCCAACACAAACTGAGAGTCGTGTCTGCTTCTGTGGGGAGCATCGTGTGCTGTTCCCCGTGGTGCAAACCCACCAGCGCTAAATAAAGAGGCTCTGCTTGGAGACGGGCGCTGGGGGAGAGACCCGAGGTGGGATGGTGTAATTACTGGTGGTGTGTTCGTGTTTAGGCTGCTCAGATCAGCTGCTTTGCTGGGCTGTAATTGCGTGCCGAGCTCGCAGCTGCTGCTGTGGTGAATGGGGAGCCCCACCACAGAACACTTTGAAGGTTGGCCAGCGTGGGGTGGGATGCTGCGGCGTGCCCGGCGTCGAGGGAGCATGCTGCTGGGATAGGGGATGTTTGCCCCTGTGGCTGGTCTTTGTGAAGGGGAATGCCACGAGGCTTCAGTCCAAGCTCTGGTACTTGAACCCAAGCCGTTGACTGGGGCGCGTGGTGGTGCACGGTGGCCGTGCCGAGACGAGCTGGCGTTTGTGGCCAAGCCACTGGCTGCATTTAGATACTGCAGCTTCTAATCTGCAAGGGCAGGAGGAGCCCCAGCTGGAGGGGTGTGGGTCAGGCAAGCTCCTGCAAGGACCCTGGTTTCTCTCGGCTTTTTTCCCTATAATAACAGTTCTCCTCCTCCCTGGTGTATTTGCTGCCTGTTGAACTTGTCGGTTTTGCTGCCCTGTGGCACATCAGGTTCTTGCCTTAAGTCTTGTGGCACTGGATTAGGTGCTTAGGGAGCCCCCCCACCTCGCTGCATGTGGTCAGTGGCTTTCTTGTTCTATTTAAGAACTTTCCTTGGCCTGCACACCCAGTTATTTTCAATCAGTGACATTGCTTGGTGGGGCTGGACCAGTGTGCTGGTTTCACCTATGGGTTGGTTTTAATCTGTTGTGATCTGAGGTTTAAGAACTTAGGTATTGAAAACATTCTGACTGTACTGAACTCTCAAGGTGATTCTTATCAGGAGACTTGAGTCCCCATTAAGATGCCAGTATAAAGGATCAAAGTGATGCTTAAGCATATCTCTACTCAGAAACAGAACTTTTGCAGGCTGTGGCTTAACTGAGACATCTCTTTCGTTTTGATCTTTGGGCTGGGTTTTGTCCCTGGAATGGCTGGCACCTTCTCGGTGTTGTCCACTTGGCAATGGTCGCATGTGATAGCTGCTGTGTTCTGGCAGGTTTTTGATGGGTTTGAGTTGGTGTTTTCACCTCTAAATACTGAAGAGAAAATGGGCTCTTAGCAGTGCGTGACAGTGGGCACTTTCTCAAACCCAGGGCTATGTGTGGCGGTGGGCAATGGTTTTGTTGGAACCTCACTGCCTCTGCCAGGGCCGGCTGTGCAGCTTGCCCTGAGCGCAGACGTTGCTGGCTTGCTCCTTCACTAGGAGGGCAGAACGGTGGCACTTGTGTGATGTTCTCAGGGGTCCTTGGCTAAGCAGTGGGAGCAATGGGGGACGACGAGGAGCAGGGGAATGTGAGCGAGGCTGTGGGAGCCAA